GTCCTTGTGTAAATTAGTTTATATTATATATTGCAAAATCTTTTGTGTTCCCTTTTTCTGCCCTCGGTAGCTGGAAAACGCTTTGTGTTCAGTGTTGCATTTTCAGGCTGGGATTTCCTCCTGGGGCTCCAGATGCCACTAGAGGGCCCTGGAGCTTGCCTGGTTTCTGCCTTACACACACACACAAACAGACACCAGAAAGCCTCCTAACACAGGTGAATACCCAAGAGATATTTGGCCTCTTGACACTTCAGATGAGAATAGGTCTCACCAGAGAACAAAGCATCTCACAAAGCAACTGTATAGAATCCTCCTTACCTTGGCTCTCTCCTGTCACAGTTGATCAGCATTGGATCTTCCTATAACTATGGAAATGAAGACCAGGCAGAATTCCTCTGTGTCGTGTCCAGGGAGCTCAATAACTCTACCAATGGTATTGTCATAGAACCCAGTGAGAAGGCAAAGGTAAGAAACCTGCTTGGGTGTATTGACTTCAATTCACCTATGCAAAAAGAAAATAAAAAATAAAAACCCCACCCTTCCTATGCTAGCAGAGCCACAGTTTGCAGTAACAGTGCTCTGTACCAGCTTTCCTATTTTTGCATGACTCTCCTTTTAGGAGACTTCTTATTTTACTGTAGGACAAAACTATGACAGGAAACAAGCTCAAGGTCCATTTGTAGGAAAGGCCCTGTATAAAACTCTAATTAAGATGAAGAGGTAAAAGGTAAGTGAAGGGCAGTATAGCAGGGGCCCTTGCTATACTTGGTCACACTAATGGAGGGATGCTACAGGGAGGGACCACCACTCTTCCTTCAGTCAGCTCTTTTTCCTAGACTGGCAACAAAGGAGGAATTTTTAATTCCTTGCAGGGAATGAAGCAGTATTTCTACAGAAGGAGCTTTATCAGCTTTAACCAACCTGCCATTCATTATGGTAACATAAAACCCAGCAACTTTCTCCTCATTAATTCCTTTGTTCCTTCCTCAAAAACGACAAGAGACTCTCAGCCTGAACTTTTGCATCTAAACTCATCCAAGTTATTGACAGTGGCTCTCTTTTTCAGATTCTTCAAGAGCGAGGATCCCGGATGTAATTCCAGCATCCGCTGTCAAAGCTCCCAGATGTCAAAGGGCAGCCTAGCTGGGCAGAGCACCTCTCCGCAGTTCAACCTTGCCCTTGTACAGTAACCAAGCTAACACAAAGCAAAGCCGAGCCTGTCCTGCCAGTGACAAAGAATTCTGGTCACAACCAAAGGCTTCCCTCTTACACCAGAAACCAAGGAAGGAAAAGACTTTTCCAATTGGATAGTCCTTTCCCTAAGTATTTGTTTTGTTTTCGTGGCCAGCGCTGTATTGAATTTTTTCCAGCAATGGCTGGGCCAGATTCCCAGTCGGAGCCTTTGCAGTGGCTGCCCAGGTCCACAGGCTCTTTTGATCAGTCCCACCTTCCACAGGCTGGCGTGGGTGGAAAGACGACCTGTGTGGGAGCTGTGCCCCTGCTTGCACCCCAGTGCAACACCAGGAAGGTGCAAGCACCTTGTCCTGCTCCCACTCCTCATCAGCCAGCCCCCACAAATCAGAATAGGGCTTTAAAAGGAGGAACAAAACCACTTGTAGAAAATCTACAAACTTTTTTTTTTTTCCATTCTTGCTTTGTATTTGTTCCTTGTCCAATTCCTAAGAGCTGAGTTTAGATACTAACCGAGGGAGGGGAGTTGTGTGTGTGTCTAACATGGGTCTTGCTGTTAACACTATTACACATGGGCTCCTGGCATTTCCCAAAGCCCATCCCTCCTCATGCATAAGCAAGAGACCTGTGTTCGTCCAGAGTGGCTGTAGAGAAGTACTTTACGCTTCTCAGTTGCAGAGTGGTGACATCTTTTTCCCCTCTGATATCTTGCCACGGCCATATCTTAACCTGGTACAAAGTGACAAGGTTAGGGACTTGTTGCTGCCAAGTTCAGCTTTGCCTTGTTTGTCTCCAGCAGAGTGGGCTCTGTCTCCTTCGTCCTCACGGGAGGGCGTCAGGCAGGATTTCTTTTGTACTGTAGCAAGCAGGTAGGTTTGTTTTAGCCCGTATGATCCTTTGCGGAGGAGATCCCCCTATTTACACGCAGTGATTTATCTGCAGCCCCCACATGTCCCCCCCTTTTAAGAGTTCACCTCAAAGTACAAGAGGGGCTTCACTGAGCTGGGGGAGGGGGGAATTGGTGAAAAGTTGCCAAACTGTTGTAATGTTTCTTGTCCAAAGTGACGTGTCAACTTCTGTGACTTTTCTTTCCTTTTTTTGGAATGCCTTGGATGGATGTGCAAAATGTTCGTTTGTGCCTCTCTTGAATTCTTATCTTAGCCAAACTGCAGTCACTGGTCCCCTCTGTTAATCTGTGCCATCCCTAACCAGGGGCATGTCCCTCCTAGTCTGGTAAATGGAATTTCTTAGGAATTTGCTGCATGTTTTTCCCCCTTTCATCCTGGCTTTGTTCTTTGTAGCCCAAGTGTCCTGGCACTTGGGTCTTTTGAGTCAAGTCCCAAACTGACATTAAGCGCAAAGCTTCAGAGATGCTGGAATTCATAGACATTGACAGGGTCAGAGCAGTTGTGTCTTAAATAAAATACCAGAAAATTCCTCACCTGGACTGAGGAGTTTGCTCCTTTCTGAAGGAATTCAGCTGCTTGTCGTCTCCTTAAAGTTTCGAGAGAGAAATAAGCAGGTTTCCCTCCTCATCGCTCCGTCACTGGCAGGGCCACAGACCGTTATCAAACAACCGGTTCGGCAAGCAAGATGCGCAGCAAACAGAGCGTCCCTGCTTTGCTCTGTGCCTCTCCTCAGTCCTCCTGACCGTGCTCTTGCCTGTCGTTCCCCACGCTGCTTTGCCAACATCCTCCCGTGGAGGCTTGGCCTCGTTCTCCGGGAAGGGCGGTCGGTCGGCAGTGCTGGTTTGGTCCCTGGATTCGCCACGTGTCAGTCGGAGGCTGCTGGAGCGCCGCGGACTTGCCGTCCTCCTGAAGAGCCCAGCGCCTTCCCTCCGTCTTTCCTGTTCATCATGGGGTGAGATGGGCTTGGTGTGATTAGACCACAGGACTTGGCTGGGCCCAAATAACACTGTGATGTGTATAGATCTCTCCTCTGTTGGTATCTTGTAGCCTCGGTCACTGCCCGTCCGTGCTCACAGCTGACAAATAGGCACACGTATGCAAGTTAGCAGCCTAAAAGCCCTCTAACACATTCACACCCATCTCTTCTCTCCCTTCCCCAGAGAAGGGGAGATTGTGGTCAAGAAATACCAACCTGAAGGCAACAGGAACAGGTTGAGCTGTTGGTCACATCGCTGCCAGCCAAGCACCTTGGTTATGAGCACAGAGCTCATGACCCTGGTGGTCGTGTAAAGGGAGCCGGTCAGTTCAGGAGAGCTTGAGCAGGTGGGAGTCACACTGACCTTGCTGCTTTTCCATGTCACCCGAGGTCCCGCGCGCAGCGAAGGCCACTGGAGGAGCGCCTGGCACAAGAGCGATCCCGTCACCCTCCCCTTTGCCACAGAGAGCGTTACCGTTACCGTCAGAGCGGAACGGCTCTGTTAAACTCACAGGCACAAGGAAGGCTGTTGAACTTGCATCTCGGTTTTCCCCTCCACGCTGCTCTCTGCAGTAAGGTCGTGCTGAGGGACTTGTGTCTCCTTGGGTTCAATTACCTAGTCCTTAAATTCAACAGAACAAGTTAAAAAAACTGGTCTGATAGTTGCTGGACGTTCACAAGCTCTTGTGTGATACTTGGGACCAGGCATGAAGACAACCAGAGCAGGTACGTTCCCCGTGGAGGGTTTCTCCTCTTTCCTGACTGCTCTAGTCACCTTTACCCTGAGACCATGGACTGGTCTCAGCATTATGCACCGGTTGCATCTTGTCTGTGCTCAAGACAGGGCTTTTCCTTCCATTGCCTTTCACTCAGTCACAACTCTATCAAACTAAAACTAAGCTAAGTTAAAATTTGTCCCATTCACTCTGAAGAAGGTAGTGTGTTCTGGCAAGTAGGGTGGATGAACAGGGGTAGGAGATCAGCTGGGTATCTAAGGACACTTGCATCTCTTAGAAAGGTTCTCTTTAAAGCATTAGTCCTGGGAATGGAGAGTAACATTTTTGTTTGTTTCCCAGGGGCCAAAATTGTTCCATTACAGTGAGACTGGAAATAACCTCTTAAAAGTGTCTTTGTTTCTGCACATTTTTAAAATCGATCTTCTCAGGGGTGACTGAGTGGGCTGAGGCAAAGGGGGGACATGGTCAAGCTGCAGAGCGTCGGGACGGAGCAGCCCCCGGGCCTGCAGCTGGGCCATGGGCTCCTCCCCTCAGGTTTGCCTGCGAACCCGGAGGTTTTGTACAGTTTGTCACGTGTCAGTGCCCTTTGCTACTGTTTCTCTTTGTTTATTAAATGTATTTGAATAACAGTTGAGATGCTGTGATTAATTTTTTTTCAATAAAGATTCTGAAATAGGTTTAAAGTTTGAACCAGGTCTGCATCCTGCTGCTTTCTTCATGTTCACTTGCCACCTTACCACACAAACACTATCTAATGAGGAAAGAAGCATAGAAATTAGGTACCTGTAAATGTCCTGGAGTCAGGAATAACAGACTTGCAAGCAGGAGAACATTATCAGATTCTGGAGTCCTGCTTGAATCTGAACCTGATTTTCTGCAACACAAGAAAACCAAACAACATGGGTTTACCAGTCCTCATTTCCAAGTGGAACCACAAACAAGCAGACTGTTAGCCCAAGAGTTAAATGGAAGTAGCTGATTTTTGTCAACATTTCTGTGGTAAATCGCTGCGTGACTGCAACCCAGCACACAGGGAAGGAGTTCGGACACCAGTTTGACACCTCTGCCCCTTCCTCTGTGCCACAGAGGCCCTGCTGGAGCTTGCAAACAGCTTGCCAGGTTCCCCCATGAGGCTGAAGATAAAATGTTCTTGCTAGTACCAAGATAAAAGCAAAACATGGGAAAATGCAGTGCACCTCACATAAAAGTTTCTGCTGTATTCACAGCCAACAACTCTGTGGGGAGAAGTTTGCCCTGGGCACGTAGAGCTGGCTCAGACCTCAGAGGGTATTTTCAATATTGTTCTGTTACTTCTGCCCAGAACGGTGCTACCGTCCCTCTTTTTGAGTCCTTAGTAGCCAGGGGGATTAGCTGGGTTTCGTTTCTTCCCGGTTTACGCAGCACGGTGAGAGAGGGGCACCAACAGATGGACAAGCAGCGGGGAGGAGAGAGACAGATACTGGAGCTTTGGCGAGACTCAGAGTTGGATAATACTGGCAATTTGGGCTCAAAACAGGGAAGGAGCAGGGATAAGTGGAGGCGAAATCCCCAGTTCATCTAGTCTTCCTTTTGAGCACACAGGCTGCTGCCTTCAGCAGTCGCTCTGAGGGCCCTCCCGCAGGAACGTGGCAGCCGCCTGAGATTCCCACCGCGCAGGAGGGGCCGCGGAGCAGGGACAGGTTGGCTCGGCCCCATGCCGGGGCTTAATCCTGGAGCCGTGGGAAGATGAGCCTCTCCCAGCAGGGCCACACAAGAGACACACATGAGCATGGGGAGGCAGAAGTCATGTCAGATCCAAGACACCGCCGAGCCCAGGCTGAGGAACAAGGCGCCTTGAAGCCTCACGGAGCATCCTGAGGCACAAGACCTGCCTGCGGGCAGCATCAACAGCTAACTCGCCTCGAGACACCGCGCGGAGCGGAGCCAGGCTGGGTGAGGCGGCAGCGTTGGGCAGACAAGGGACCCACGGTCAAGAACAGTCTCATCAGCAGAACCCAAAGCACCGCGGCCGCTCGGGGTCTGCAGCCACAGCCTCCCTGCTCGCCCGCCTCAGCACTAACCTAAAAGAGCAAATGGGCCACGATGGCTCTCGCACCTAAAAGACTGCCAGCCCCAGGCCATCAGCCAGGCTGTTTCTCATGGCGCTTAATCCAGCGCTACATCCTGGGCAGAAACATCACTGCTTCTGTGGAAGCCACAGGCTGGAGCAGCCTGGGCCTCGCACAAGCACCGGCCTCTCCCTGTACCGAGTGATGCAGCCGGCTGCACTTCTGGTTTGAAAGCCATTTCTTTACACCCCGCTGCAGAAGACAGGAGCTTTCCTGGCACTCCTGAGAAGCCGTACTGGATGTGCAGCAGCACTGCTTGTGTTACCTTACTAAGAACAAACAATAACCTAACATTCCCACTTTCCACCGTGTATCCTGCTGTATGCAAAGCACAAAGCTCAGCTTCTGTGCTTCCCAAGCTGCAGGCTGGATTTGCTCTGGGGAAAAAGGAAAAGTGAAGAATGGCAACATGAGAGAGCAGGGCACAGCGGAAGGCTCAGGGCAGCGGCCGGAGCACGCGGAGCCCCGCGGCGTCACAACCGGCACCACTGTGATGTCGCCGGCCACCGCGGAGTGGAACCGGGGCGGGCGCTGCCACGACCCCACGAGCCTCCCCTGTACGACCCCAGCAGCGCTCGCTGCCATGGGCAGCCTCACGGAGCAGGTAGGTGCCCAGGCAGCCCCCAGCGCTTCCCGGCCTCAGCTCTGCATGAGGATCAGCCTGGGAGGAGAAGGAGCCCTGCTGGCCAAGAAGGAACCCTGGCGCAGGGCAAATGTCCCCTCGGTGGGGACACAGAGCTGTCCTCTTACCTGCACTCCTCCCGCCAGGAGAGGCCACCCCGATGCTGCCTGCGGTGCATGAGGCACCTGTGCAGGGACCACGTCCGCCTCCAACGCACAGACTCAGCCCTCGGGAACTGCTGGCTGGAGGAGCTCCTCGGAGACTGGGAATCCACGGCGAGCTCCGAGGAGCAGGAGGCGCCGGGCCGGGACAGCAGAGCGCGGGGCCGTGGGACGCAGAAGCCCAGCAGCCGCCCAACGGAGCGAGCCAGGCAGATGGGGAGCAGGGCCCAGCTCCCGAGGAGCCGGCTCCTTCACCACGCGGCCAGGGCTGCACCTTGGGCACCCATAACCACCCCACAGGCCCGGTGGGCAGCACCTTGGCACCCCCTCTCCCACCTAACCACACGTGGCTCTTCTTTTCCAGGCAGAGATCAAGCAAGCGCAAACCAACCTGGAGAACCAGATCTTGATGGTGGCCTCCGACAGCCTCAAGCACAAAGCGAGGGTGATCCACCTCACGGTAAGGTCCCCACTTCTGAGCCACACAGAAATGCACCCCGCCAAAGCCAGGGCTGCTCACAGGGGCCATTTAAGAGTATTTTTTAAGTGAGTCTTTGCTCAGGCACATGGAGGATCTGCTAAAGAGACATGAGTTTGGTGCCTCCAGGACAGAGCTGGTGCTCTTCCAGCGGCTGTGCTGGCCTTGCCAGCACATTATAGACACCCAGGTCTCTTTCCCCTCCTGTGATTAACAGCAAATCATCCAGGCTTAACCCAAAGGACCCTGTGCCACATGCTCTAGGTGTCCCTGCTTGAGCATGGGGGAGTTGGACTGGATGAACTCTAGAGGTCCCTTCCAACCTTTACTATTCTGTGATCCTATGACCCATTTTTGGAGAAAACAGCTGAGTGAGACCATTGCAGGTAGAGGTCTGGTGCTCCCAGCCTGTGTCTCCCTCCCCCAGAAAGTGGTAGAGCGGGCACGAGAGGAGGTGAACCGGGGCTTCGCCGAGATCCTGCAGGAGCTCCGGCAGCTCCACAGGAACTTGCTGGGCTTCCTCGACCAAGAGGAGCACGCGGCCCTGCTCCGCTTGGGCGACTCCATCCAGGAGCGGCAGGAGAAGCTGGAGCAGCTCCGCAAACAGGACACGTGGCTCACGGGGCTGCTCGAGGAGGCCAGCGAGGAGCAGCTCCGGCAGGTGAGGCCAGCAGCAGCACAGAGGATTTGGACACGGGGTGCCTGCCCAGGGTGACCCTGGGTCCCAGCACCTCTGCAGACGCCAGGGGCTCGGCCAGCAGGAAGGCAAGGGAGGGAAAGTGTTGCTGAGATTCCCCAATATCCACAGGGCAAAATCAGCAAGCAGCACAACCCTCATGCCGGGAAGGACTTAAATTCTCTTTTTTTTTTTCCTGCTTTTTTTCTGCACTGGAAAGGGCACAAAAGGGCTGCTGGGGCATCCCTTCCCCAAAGGGAGGCTCCCTCCGGCAGGGCGGCCAGCAGGAAGGCAAGGGAGGGAAAGTGTTGCTGAGATTCCCCAATATACACAGGGCAAAGTCAGCAAGCAGCACAACCCTCATGCCGGGAAGGACTTAAATTCTCTTTTTTTTTTCCTGCTTTTTTTCTGCACTGGAAAGGGCACAAAAGGGCTGCTGGGGCATCCCTTCCCCAAAGGGAGGCTCCCTCCGGCAGGGCCGAGCCTGGCCACGGCGCAGCAGCACGGCCGGGGCTGCGGCCTCGCCGCACACCTGTGTTTGTTAGTCACCGGGAGCTCGGCTTCCCCGCGCGGTGCCAGCTTTGCCTGGAGCACAGAAATCCATTTGCTCTCCTGACCTGCCCGCTCATGCCTGCGGACGGACAAACTGAGCTGCTGTGAAAGATGCAGAAGGGCTTTAGCAGAGCCCATGAACCCACCCGGGTGCGACTTCTCGGGCGGGCTCTGGAGCAGGAGGGAAAGCAGCGGCTCCATCCCTCCTCCCGCTCTATCACTGTGGGTGACACCCGCAGCACAGAGGTCCAGGCACTGCTGTAAATGCACCTTGCACAACATATGCTTTGCCCCAGGCGCTCCGCATAAAGATGAAGGTCAGTTAGTCATCTACCCACCCACTTGCGCCCCATGCAAAGTCATCAAGCCGGATCTATTTGCAGGCAAAAAGCCTGTAGATATTTCCAGTCCAGCTTACAACTTGTTTGGGAAACAGAGACCTTAGCTAGGGAGTCATGTCCTTCCACCTAGATCTGGCTCCGAGGCAGCTGCTGAAGGTTTGCTCCAACTTTTATATGGACAAGTAACCTCTACACACCCTAGCCCTTGCAGGGCTGGAGAAACAAGCTGTTTCTCCAAACCCCAATATTTTTGCAGTCCCAAAGCCATTGCCGCCAGGTTGTGGCCTAACAGAGGTGAGCACCAACACCCGGCCTTAACAATTCCCAGCAAAAGTCTCTGTCACTCCTAGGAATTCCCCAAGGTTAAGGAGACAGCAGCCTGCAGCAAGCCCGTCCTCAGCCCCAAGTGCGAGGAGTCCTCGAGCTTCATGGGCCTCAAGCAGAGCCTCAGCGAGCTGAAGACACAGGTGGCAGCAGTTGGTCTCTGCTTTGTCAAGAAAATTGGTGGGAAAGGTGAGCACCTTCCTCCTTTAGCTTTTGGCTGAGCAGCACATCTGTGGCAACAGCAGGAAAAAGCAAACACTGATGATCTTGATGAATTCAAATGGTAGCAGCTAAAAAAGAGGTAAGTGAGAACCCCTCCAAAGACAACCCTGTTCCCAAGTCTTGGGGAATCTTGCATGAATGTCTTGGAGATACTGCTGCAACAAATTCCATCTTTGCAATGCTGCAATATCCTCATTTCCCAGTGTCCCAACCTTTATTTTCCCCATTTTGCCAATCCGAATGCAGAGAAACGCATGAAAAGTAGGGAGAATGGGATTTGCTAAGCAGGATTTTGCTCATATCAAGACTTCAGTGCCAAAATTTATGCTTGTAAAACAAGAGCTTAGTGGAGAGTTTTGCTGTGCCCTGGGTCTCCCCTCCACACCAGTGGCACAAAGCCACTACTGACCTGTGTTTCCTATTGGGATGAACAGCTCTGGCCTCTTCTTTTCCAGGAATCACAATGCTGAACAATGAAGTTGTACCTGCAGATACAGACAGGAAGAGCCTCCTAAAATGTATGTGTGACATTTTGGGGCTTTTTCTGCCTTACTGGGGCTCTTGGGCACTGCCTTCAACTTGCTTGTAGGAACCATCCCAGGGCAAGAAGCAGAGCAGGACCCAGCAGGGGCAGCAGCCAAGCAGCACTGCCAAAGCCTCTGCTCTTGGCTGGAAACCTGGAGCCCAGCTGGCTCCCTACAGCCAAATTCCATGGATTCTAGCGGAACATCTCCAGTACCTCACAAGTCCTTCCCTGCCTGCCCCAAACAGGGTGCTGTGCCTTAATGGGAAGTTATTTACAGGAGGAGACTTAAAAAGCAACTTTTAAAGCCTCCAATATTCCTGACACGATGGCTACAGACAGGGAAGGAGCTGCCAGTCCCAAGCTCTGTCAATCCTAGCTCCAAGGGTAGCAGGGTGGGAGGGCTGTGCTGTGCCACCATGCACCCAGTGGGTAACTCAGAGCCAGTAGGTTTCCCAAAAATGAGTGCAAAGCCTCCTAAATCATCAGGGCTATTTTACCTATGAAGAGCCACTGTGCAGCCAGTGGGATTTACACCTACGGCAACAACCAACCATGGGGCAACACACGGCAAGACCTCTTCCCCATCCAGGAGGGCCCAGGGGAAACACCAGACGGACCAGCAGGAGAGTTATAGATGTTATAAAATATTATATAAGCCGGAAGCGGGACAGGGTCTAAGCGGGTCGCCCCTCTCGCGCCGCAGATTACTGCGAGCTCAACTGGGACACGAGCACGGCCAGCGAGGAGCTGCTGCTGCTGCAGGAGACGCGCTCGGCGCTCAACGTGTGCATCCTGCTCGACGCCTTCGTCGCCTCCTGCCCGGGCTTCGGCTGCTGGCCCCAGGTGGCCTGTTCGCGGAGCCTCTGCGAGGGCCGCCACTACTGGGAGGCCGAGGTGTCCGACTCGTGGCTCTGCCTGGGCGCCACCTACAGCCGCCAGCGCCAGGCGGGCAAGAGCCACGTGTTCTACCTCATGGGCAGGAACAGCGCCTCGTGGTGCCTCGAGTGGGACTCGCTGCAGCTCTCCGCCTGGCACGACAACGTCCAGACCACCCTCAAGGGCGGCTACTACCGCACCATCGGCGTCTTCCTCGACTACGCCGCCGGCTCCTTGACTTTCTACGGCATCACCAACACGCCCAACCTCATCTACCGCTTCCTGGCCACCTTCACGGAGCCCCTGTACCCGGCCTTCATGGTGAGCAGCGGCGGCTCCATCACCTTGAAGCGACACCCCGAGTAGAGGCTTGTTTTCCCCGCCACCTTTTTGGGCGCTATTAAAGGTCCTGCGTGTCAGGCGGCGGGTGCGATTCCTGGGGGCTGGCATGGCAGGGGGCAGTTCTGCAGCCTTGCACAGCTCATGGATTAGGGCAACCTCACATCTGCAAAAGAGCCAGTTTTCAGGAATGTCACCCTCCCAACCCTTTGCCCACATGCAGCATCCCCTTCTCACACACACATCCCTCCTTAGCACACAACCCAGCAGCCTCCCCAGGCCTCAGCAAGCCCTCAGGGCTCCTTGCTGGCACAGCAGGCACCTCCAGGCTGTCCCATCATCACTTCCAGGAGGTGACGCTGGGGCACGAGCACGCAGGGCACCACAGCACATCAGGAGGAGGCAGTTGTGGGGTGACCCACATGCACCTGCCATCCCCCCAGGGAGGTGCTCGCTGAGTGAAAGCAGGGACAAGACATGTCTTGCCAGATTCCTCCCATGCCAGGGAAGCTGTTGGTACATGCTAGTGCCAGCTGCATCCCAAACCCACATCTCCCACCTCCATGCCAAGCAGTGACACTCCCCATGCTACCTAACAAGCATCCGGCTGGGTCCAGTGATTCCCCAGAAGGGGATTTCTCACCTGGTAGCACTAATCAGCCCAATTAATGGTGGTTAAAGGGTGTAAAGCAGTAAGACTGAGCCAATATCCAGCCAGGAGAACAAGGACTGTACTGAGACAGATCAGCCTAAAGCAGGCTGAGGAGCTGAGCTTAAATAGAACAGGGGAGCAAGGTGGGTGGCAGCCCCAGATGGGGCTACTCAGGCTAATTAAGCCCAGTTAGTGGCAGTGGGACCCTGGCTCCCTTTGTTGGGGGAGGCCAGGGGAGTGATGCTATGGGATGTGCTTAGGAAACTCTCAGGATAAAGCGGTGCTTTGGGACAGCTCTGCTGTCCTGGCCCTGAGGCCGAGCTGGTTGTTTAGAGTGGATTAGACCTGACCTCACCCTGGTCTCAGAGATGCGATCACGCCACTGCTGCGCTGTTTGGTCCCCCTGACTAAAAATAATATTAAAAAGAAAAAAAAAAAAAACTAAAATAAATTCTGCCCGCTTCAGTGTCAGACAAGTCTTTGCTAATCCCATTGCCGGAGCAGAGTCAGTCTTTGGCCCAAGGCACAGGGAGCTCCCAGGTGTTGGTCAGGCGCTCCCGGGCAGCCCCCAAACCCACGTGGGGCCGTGAGTGCCCAGCAGGGCCCGTGGAGCTGCTGAGCGAGCGGGGCAGAGGGGCTTCGAGGGTCCCCTCAGGCAGCAGCTCCCCGGAACTGTGTACATCCCGCTCCAGCACGTGTGGCCTTGTGCCCGTTCCCAAAGCATGAGGCGACCGTGGCTCCCCGCTCCCTCCCTGCTCCGGCATCTGCTGGTCACGGAGCACCTTCCTCCTCGTCTTATTTCACGCTTCCCGGTTCTGTTTCCACCCACCCACCAGCAGCGTCAGCCCAGCCCCAGGGCGTCTCGGGTGGCAGCACCTTCCTGCCCGGTCTGGCCCGCTCGCCTCCGGCTGTGGGCGCCGGGGCCCTGCCAAGCTGCTGCTGGCGACCTGGCTGCCGGCGGCATTTGCAGGCTAAAAAAAACGTGCTGGGAGGCACACGGCGGCCATGCCGCGCGTGCGGGTCCGGCAGTCGCCAGCCCTGTCCCAGCTGAGGGAAACTGAGGCACGGCCGGGATGCTGCAGGGTTCGGATCCCCTCGCGCACGTGAAGCCAAATCCCGATAGCAGCGGTAAGCCAGGGCCCCGCCGTTCCCACAGGCTTCACTCGGTCGTGCGGCGCCGGGAGAGGCCTGGGAGCCGGCGCTGCACCAGGGCCGTGTCGCAGGGATGGGAGCCGGGCGGCTGCCTCTTCTCCAGGCTGCCGTTGCCGGGGAGAGGTTTTAGGGGACTCAATGAATTCACAGCAGCGAGACAAGCGCTTGAATCGGCCACATTCTCCTTGCCAGCTGCAGGGGACAAAGGGGGAGCGGGCCGAGCCCGGCCCCGCGCTCCGCACGCGGGAGCCCTTCCCCTGCCTGCGCTCGCCATGCCGCGCGCGCTGCCGCCCACGGAACGCTCCGGGAAAGCCCCAGGGCGCTGCGGGAGCCGCCCCGCCGCAGCGGCGACGACGAGGGG